ATGATAGAGTAATATATAAAAATCAAATCGAATCAACCAATAAGAAAGTATTGACCTTTCCACTCATGTAGTCCAAATAATGGGACCACTTGGTAAGATAGATACTATAGAAAAATTGGACATACCATTCTACATTTATTAATTTTCTCATTTTGTGGCTCTGAACATTAGAACAAATTAGCATATTTTCTCTCAATCAAGAAAATGTTACCAATGTTGTTAAATTTTGTCATACTAGTGTCTCTCTTGTTTGCACCAACTTCTGGTGAAGTTGATGGATTCATTTACAATGGATTCAAACCAAGTGATGTTAGTTTAGATGGCATTGCTAATATTACACCCAATGGTCTTTTGTTGTTAACAGATTCCAAAACACAAGATCAAGGCCATGCTTTTTATCCAAATCCAATTCATTTCAAGAATTCACCTTATGGTGATGCATTTTCATTCTCTACAACCTTTGTGTTCGCGATAAGGTCTGATTATAGACCATTGGATGGTCATGGACTAGTTTTTGTTATCGCGCCACAGAGAGGAATTCGAAAGGCTTTGGCAAACCACTATCTTGGTCTTTTTAACTCAAGAAATAATGGGGATAAATCAAACCATGTTGTTGGAGTTGAGTTTGATACAATATATAGCGCGGATTTTGGTGATATGAATGACAATCATGTTGGAATTGATATAAATGGATTAAGGTCTGTAGCAAATCACACAGCAGGTTATTTTGATGATCATACTGGTTTGTTTAATAACTTTACTCTGGTTAGTGGTATGGCAATGCAAGTTTGGGTGGATTATGATGGTATAACTAAGCTAATCAATGTGACAGTAGCTCCATTACATATGGAAAAACCAGTTACTCCACTTTTGTCTTTGAAATATGATCTTTCGCCGATTCTTAATCAGATTATGTATGTTGGTTTTTCATCATCAACTGGTTCAGTCCCAACACATCATTATATCTTAGGATGGAGCTTTAAGGCAAATGGGAAAGCTCAAGAACTTTCTCAACTTCCTAGTCTTCCTCGTCTTGGGCGTAAAGGGGCATCAAGATTTGTAACGATTGGGTTACCAGTGATCTCTTTGGTTACAATTGTTGTAGCAACCTTGGTGGTGGTTTGTTATGTTAGAAGGAAGAAGTATGAAGAAGTTCTTGAAGATTGGGAACGTGAGTATAGACCGCAAAGGTTCAATTATAAGGATTTGTACACTGCTACTAAAGGGTTCAGAGAAAAGGAGCTGTTGGGAGCTGGTGGATTTGGTAAAGTTTATAAAGGAGTGATGCCTGTAACCAAACATGAGATAGCTGTAAAGAAGATATCTCATGAATCAAGACAAGGGATGAAGGAATTTGTTTCGGAGATTGTAAGTATAGGCCGTATGCAACATAGGAATGTAGTACCACTTTTGGGCTATTGTAGGCGAAAAGGGGAATTACTTTTGGTTTATGAGTTCATGTCTAATGGAAGTCTAGATAAGTATTTATACGACCAACCAAGACTCACCCTCGATTGGAACCAAAGATTCAGAGTCATTCAAGGTGTAGCATCAGGACTATTTTTCCTACATGAAGAATGTGACCGTGTAGTGGTTCATAGGGATATTAAGGCTAGTAATGTGTTGTTGGATGGTGAACTAAATGGCAGGCTAGGAGACTTTGGACTCGCGAGGCTATATGGTCATGGGACTGATCCTCAATCAACTCGTGTCGTTGGTACTCTTGGTTATCTTGCACCAGAGCATACTAGAACTGGCAGGGCAACACCTAGTAGTGATGTATTTTCCTTTGGGGCTTTTCTGCTTGAAGTTGCGTGTGGTAGGAGGCCGATAGAGCCAAGACATGACGGTGATGATCTGATTTTAGTTGATTGGGTGTTTTCGTGCTGGAATAGAGGTAATATTCTCGAGGCTGTTGATCCAAACTTAGGCAATGATTTTGTTCCAGGGCAAGTTGAGTTGGTCTTAAGTCTAGGCTTGTTCTGTTCTCATTCAGAGCCCTCATTTAGGCCAACCATGCGACAAAACGTGTTGTTCTTGGAAGGTGTGGTGGCCTTACCAGAGTTATCAGCTCTCGGTGTTTCATATGCTGACCTAACATTTGACCATCGCGGAGGTTTTGATGATTTTATCAAGTCGTATCCAGCTTCTTCTGTTAATGCACATTCCCCCGCTTCATCTGTAGCAGAATCGCTCCTTTCTGATGGCCGATGAATTAGGCTACACACGAAGCACGATTGAACACTTTCATGAACATTTAACAGTGAAGTAGTTCAGGCATGATACTATTAGTTTAGAATGTAACACTATACAGAGAAGATAACACTCTTTTCTCTTCATTGTCAAGTTTCACAGTAATAACTTTTGTCAAGTCTATGTAATTGGTACCAAATATATCGTCTTATCGACCTCCTAAACTTCTATTTCTGAATATGATTATTAACTCTCGTTCATAGTTTTGTTTCAAATTAAAAAAAATGACTAATTGAAACAGAATTAGTAAGTACTTCTAAATGAAAGTTAAAAATAATTGACTTAACCGTTGAACAAAGATACTTAATTTACATTTAGGTAACAACTAGGAATTGAGGCATTACCATGACTAGTAATAACTCTTTAACGGGTCAACGATTAAATCGATAAGGAAAATAAGTGAATGATAACCACTAAAGTCAAAGAAGACCTTAAAATAAATAAAAAAACTACAGAGAGAAAAATAATGTTTTATTAATTAAAAAAAAAGAGTGTTGATAGATGAAAGGAACCTCATGATATTTAATTAATAAACATTCAAAAGTTTGACATAAATGTATTGGAAGATCTTAAAACAACTTCACATTGAATAGACTCCAATTCCAATAAATGTTGGTAGATGCATGTACTAAAGCAAATTTTCTTTTAGGCTTAAAGTTAGTGATTGAGTTTTAAAGTTATTAGCATAATTCACTTAAATATTTAAATTAATATTTGTATTTATTGAATATTTTTATCTTTTTAAATTCAAATTATTTAAATATTTTTTATAATAAACTAAAAGTATAAAGTATGTGAAATATACTCGCAATGATTTGACAACTTGACGAAGTAAATAATGACATGTAATTTTAGTACAAAATTTAATTTTAAAATGTATTATAAAGTAAAAGAAAAAAATTCTTTTTATGTTAAAAATAAATATTTTAAAAGAATCTTCCAACTTACCTTTGACATAACTTTAAGACCACAAAATTAAAAGATATTTTTGATACATTTGACATGACTTTAAATTTGAATTCTTTCTTTTCTTAAATTCCGTTTCAAATCAAATTATGTCAATCTTTTTGAAACGGATGGAATATTATGAAACTTTCTTGGTTCATTGATGATAAATTTCTCCATGACATTAATTCTTGTCGATTTCTTTATGCTAAATTGGATATAACTTTTTATTAAACTTTCTTCTTCGTTCAATTTTTTGTAAAGTGAAACGAATTTCATCGGAAAATTAACCAACTCCAATGACATCATTGGGAAAAATTAAGTAATGTCGAATTTCTTTTCGAGTTCTACAACAAAAAAAATAATAATCCAAACTTCAATCCCTCTACAAATTAACATGATAAAAATAACTATTATGAAGACAATTTTAAGGGATTTAAGATGATTTAGGCCTTTCTGTTATTTAGCTCATGATTTAATATACTACATTTTAAGTATTATTTATTGTACTCTTTTTAAAAATAATCTCAAATTATTTTCTGTGTTTATATTTACTTGTCATTATTCTAAAAATAAAAGACGGTGAAGATGCTCTGAAATCAAATAAAAATGTCTCCGATTATTACTTTGTTCAAAAATGCCTTCACTATTACTTTTGAGCTAGAAATGTGTTATTCCTAATAAATTATGTTGTTTCTTTTCTTTCTAAACATATTTTTTTTCTAATAAAATTATTGTAATCCATCATTAATTTTCATAATATAAGATCACAATTATCTATCATTAAATTTCATTAAACAGTGATAAAAGAAACTCTAATGAAATATAAAATATTTTTCTAATTGAACGCGCATAAGCATTTGCCTATATAATCTTTGATTTTAAAGTTAAATATAACTACAATAATATCATTAAAAAACGAAAATTTATTACATAAATTGCTTCAAATCACTTAAAATAAATTTCTTCAAATAATTACTTTAGTCATTTGTGATTATTTTTTTTAATTACATTATGTGCAGCAAATTTTGAAAAAGTAAACAGCGTAGGCTTCCGGGCACTTTAACATTTTGTTGTAACGCATGCAACTCATTAGGATGAGAAGTAGTTAAAATAACTCATCGGTGACCATTTAAACTTAGTATTAATTTTCAATTAAATACTTAAATCGGTTTTGTTTATTTTTAAATACATTATATTAGGTTTAAATGTGTCATTTAAACACTTTTTCGACGATCTGTCAAATTTATAAGGTGTGTATAACATACTCGCTAATAACGTGTCAAAGTGACGAATTAAATAACAACATATGTCATATATAAAAAATTATTAAATGATGATTTATGTGGCATTTATTTAACTAAATAATTTTTTTTTAAAAAATTAACCACTTTTAATTTAAAAAAATTATTCCCACACCTCCACCCCAAATTGTCTTCTTCATTACCCCACCCCCACCCCCACCTCAAATCCCAACCCCTCTCTCTCACTAAGATTGTCTTCTCCACCCATCACCACCCTCGACCCTCCCCCACCTAAATGTGTCAAACGAAAAGTTTTTTTATTTGTTTTTGTTACTTTGTGAGTGTTGTGAGATAAGAACGGTTTTTTTGTGGTAGATTGATATTTAAATGTTTGATTTGGTGAATGTGGTAATGCATTTGTTTGACCTTTTTCGGGGATTTTTTTATTTTCGGCTGAATTTTTGGATCATTGCAAATAAAAAATTGTTGTTTTAGTATATAAATATGGAGTCTCAATCTAGAATTTTTTCATGATTATGATGTGAGAATACATACAAATGGATTAGAACGCTAAAATTATTTGTTGCGAATGTAGAATTTGATAATTGAAAATATAATTTCTTGCCATTTTTGTTTGTGGCATCGTCAAATTTATTTCACCATGAAAAAAGTTTAAGTTTGGAACGTTTGACTGCCGCTCGGGGATGTAGTTGTAGATAGGTTAGTCTTAGTGGGTCGTTGGCTCCACCTGTTATCTCCTTCTACGACATGTTGTTGTCGTCGCCATATTCCATATGTCACTTAGTCATCTCTGCCTCGCTGCGGGTCAGAACCTCCTAAAGAAACGGAGGACTTTATTCAGTGACCCCGCGATTGCCCTCTGAATGATCAGAATAAGGTAAAGCTTGAAGATAAGTTTTGTACTCAATTAATTTCTCAGTCCCTCTAGTCAGGTGGGCGCCGACCGATTTTTCGACTAGATTCGCCTAAAAACCATAAGTGCTGGTCTCCCTTCATGCGGCCCACGTCATTCGAGGTGGCCCAGCCCAACATTCATTCGCAAATCCTGTAGCCAAAAATTGGGGAAGAAGAAGAAGAAAAAAGTAAAACTTGGTAAAATGAGGCTTTCACACGCGTCCAGTGAGTGTATCACACATATTATGCCCTCTCAGCAAAAAGTATCAAATTGACACAGCGAAACATGAAATGAGGTATCTAAAATGAACAAGCATGGTTGAGGTGTCTAACTAAAAATTAGTGACAACTTTAGTGTCAACCGATAGAATTGGCCTTAAAATAAACTGATTTTTATAAAATGTAAGAATGTTATGTCATTTTGGAATTACACCTAGAAATACAACTCATGAGTTCAAACTTTAAATATGATCCACAAATTCAAAATAGTCGATACCAAATGATAAATCAAAAGAAATTTCATTATGGAATTTAACTTGATTACGACCCAAGAACCACCCTTTCAATAGTGCACTAACGACCATTTTATTTAATAATTAAAAAGAAGGAATTACGACCATTTTAATGTACTTATCAAGGTCCAATCTATTTACGAAGTCAAATATTCAAATACACCCACCATTCTAATTTAGGGTGTAACCTTTCGCGACTAATATTTGAAGCTAAATTTGAGTAGATGAAATTAACGTTTAAAAGTTAAATTTAATTATATGACACAAACGTTTAAAAGTTAAAATTTAAATATTCAAAATTATAAAAAAATACTATAAATTGTAATTTTTCTAACGTTAATATGATGAAAAAATTTATTATAAAACATCTTTAAAGTTTTGAATCTCGAAAAAAGAAAAAGTGTATTATGGGGATAGAGGAAGTATTGCTTTAATTGTACTATAGAAGTAGGGGTTGATCCATTTCTACAACGATCACAAATTAATTCAATTATATTTACTTGCAAATATTTATGAATTTTTTAATACATATACAAAATTTGAGCAAATATTACTAAATTCTCGTGAATTCATATATCACATGGTATATCTGCCACAGAGCAAGGTGGGAGTGGCCACTACAGCCTACGTACATCCAATATTCTCTTCAGAGCTCAATCGTGGAATAACACCGAATATGTTGTTGAAATTTAACTAGGTAAATCTTATTCAACCAAATATGAGAACACTAGTGCAATTGAAATTAAATTTTAGCCACTTGCCATTTGAATAAAAAAGTCTGCAGTTGAAAATATAGACCTTTCTTCATATGTAATCCAAATTTTAGATGGACCAACTTTAGTATATAGATGACTTTTTTTGTATTCCTTGAGAAGACTTGGAAAATAGAAAATAAATTATAAGTAACATTTTTGGACTACTATAGAAAAAAATTGATAAAAAAAGATCATTTCTTGTCAAATCAAGAAAATGTATAAAAAGTCGAACAAATTAGCTTTATTTGGTCACAAATCACAATATTATCTCTCATTTCTCAATCAACAAAATATTGTAAATGTTGTTCAATCTTGTCATACTAGTTTCTCTTTTCTTAGTTGGTATTGCACCAGTTTCTTGTGAAGTTGATCATGCATTCATTTACAATGGATTCCAATCACAAAATCTTAGCTTGGATGGTATAGCAGAGTTTACGCCCGATGGTCTTTTGCTGTTAACAGATTCTGAAACTCAAGATCAGGGCCATGCTTTCTATCCGAATCCAATTCATTTCAAGAATTCAACTAATGGTACTGTAGTTTCATTCTCTACAACATTTGTGTTCGCCATAAGGTCTGATTATGGAATTTTGAGTGGTCATGGACTGGTTTTTGTTATCGCGCCACAGAGAAGAATTCAAGGAGCTTTAGCATACCACTATCTAGGACTTTTTAACTCAACTAATAATGGGGATAGATCAAACCGTGTAGTTGGAGTTGAGCTCGATACAATCTATAGCGAGGAATTTGGTGATATCAATGCCAATCATGTTGGAATTGATATAAATGGATTAAGGTCTGTAGCAGTTGAAACAGCAGGTTATTTTGATAATACTGGCTTGTTTCATAATTTGACTTTGATAAGTGGCCAGCCTATGCAAGTTTGGGTGGATTATGATGGCAGTACTAAGCAAATTAATGTAACAGTAGCTCCATTACATGTGGAAAAACCAGTTAGTCCACTTTTGTCTTTGAAAACTGATCTTTCGCCGATTCTTGATCAGACCATGTATGTTGGTTTTTCATCATCAACTGGTTCTGTCCCAACATATCATTATATCTTGGGATGGAGCTTCAAGACAAATGGGAAGGCTCAAGAACTTTCTCAACTTCCTAATCTTCCTCGTCTTGGACGCAAAGGGACATCAAGATTTGTAAAGATTGGTTTGCCATTACTCTCTTTGGTTTTACTTGTTGTAGCAACCTCGATGGTGGTTTACTATGTTAGAAGGAAGAAGTATGAAGAACTTCTTGAAGATTGGGAACGCGAGTACAGACCACAAAGGTTTATGTACAAAGATTTATACACTGCCACTAAAGGATTCAGAGAAAAGGAGCTGTTGGGAGCTGGTGGATTTGGTAAAGTTTACAAAGGAGTAATGCCTATCACCAATCTTGAGATAGCTGTAAAGAAGATATCTCATGAATCAAGACAAGGGATGAAGGAATTTGTTTCGGAGATTGTGATCATAGGTCGTCTACAACACAGGAATGTAGTACCACTTTTGGGTTATTGCAGGCGGAAAGGAGAGTTGCTTTTGGTTTATGAATACATGTCTGGTGGAAGTCTAGACAAATATTTATACAACAAACCAAGATTCACCCTTGATTGGAGCCAAAGATTCAGAGTTATTAGAGGTGTAGCATCAGGACTATTTTTCCTACACGAAGAATGTGACCATGTAGTGGTTCATAGGGACATTAAGGCTAGCAATGTCTTGTTGGATGGTGAACTAAATGGTAGGCTAGGAGACTTTGGACTTGCGAGGCTATATAGTCATGGTACCGATCCTCAGTCTACTCGTGTCGTTGGTACACTTGGTTACCTTGCACCAGAGCATACTAGAACTGGCAGGTCAACACCTAGTAGTGATGTATTTTCCTTTGGTGCTTTTCTGCTTGAAGTTGCCTGTGGTAGGAGGCCTATAGAGCCAAGACAAGACGATGATGATCTGATTTTAGTCGATTGGGTTTTCTCATGCTGGAATAGGGGTAATATTCTTGAGGCTGTTGATCTAAACGTAGGGATCGATTTTGTTCCAGGGGAAGTGGAGATGGTCTTAAAGCTAGGCTTGCTCTGCTCTCATTCAAAGCCCTCGTATAGGCCAACCATGCGACAAGTCTTGTTGTTCTTAGATGGTGTTGTGGCCTTACCAGAGTTATCATCACTCGGTATTTCAGCAGCCGGCCTAACATTTGATCATCACGGAGGTTTTGATGATTTTGTCACGTCCTATTCATCTTCGATTAATGCACATTCCCGTTCTCCATCTGTAACAGACTCCTTTCTCTCTGGTGGGCGATGATTCTTAAATTAAATATGTCAGTAACTTCAACTTGTAAGTTGTAATCATGGTTTTTAATTGAATCTCTATACTACTGCACCTCAAATAAGATGGAAATGCACTTTCTTTTTAATTCAAGCTTAATTTTGTTATCAAATTTTGACTTCAACTTAGTAGCATACATGTAGTCAACTAATAATTGACATGCACTCGCACAATAATTTGCTTTTATGTTACTTCCATTGCTTCCAGTAGAGCTACCATTTGATTTATATGCTACGTTTCTTTAGTGAATAGACATTAAGATTTTGCTTAATGTAAAGAAGTGTTACCTTTTCATTGTCATCATCTGCTCACTTTGCAACGAGAACGAAGAGTGAACTGAAAGCATTATCATTATCCTCTCCTGCCATCATTGATGCATCTTCTGAGTGCTCCAATTCCTCAGATCTACTCGATGAGTCCCCCCGAGCAGCAAGAGCTTGACAAGGTAATCAGCAGCAGCTTCTTTTGGACCCAATCCCATCGTTTACCCTTGTCACCACCATTTTTAATGTAGTCCTTGTATTCAATCTTGTCCATTGGACAGTCTCTAATGAAATGACCCGGTCCCATTGTTTATCCAGTCTGTAGGTGTTAACTGTATAGGGAGTACTTGCTTTGATATCAATTGTTGGTGTTGTGCGGAATTTGAGATAATACGAGAAAATATAAACGCGAAAAACAAGACAACAGATTTACGTGGTTCACCAATAAATTGGCTACGTCCACGGGAAGAGAGGGAGCAGTTTTATTATGGAGAGGCAAAAACAGAATTACAGAATAGGGTTTGCCATAGCGTCTATATATAGTGCTAAGCTACGCCCTAAAAGGCTTGGGCCCAACATACAGAATCAACAGAAAATTAAGGGCCCAATACAACAACATTGTATACCGTCGGGCCGGGGGCGTCTCGAAAGCCGTACAACCAAAAGCTTACCTTCACTGACATAATAGAAAGCCGTACAACCAAAAGCTTTCAGATTTGAATAATCAGCAGCTTTTCCTGACCACATCTCCATAGGTGTCTTGCACTGTATGCCTGTGTGTGGTCCGCGGTTAATCAAGTAGCAAGCTGTACTAACCGCTTCTGCCCAGAATCTTCTATCTAGCCCAGCATTAGAGAGCATGCACCTTGCTCTCTCCAGAAGTGTTTGATTCATCCGCTCAGCTACACCGTTCTGCTGTGGTGTATTTTTGACTGTACGATGTCGAGCAATCCCTTCATCCTTACAGAATTGATCAAATTCAGACCAGCAGAATTCCAGCCCATTATCAGTTCGCAACCTCTTGATCTTCTTCCCTGTTTGATTTTCCATCAAAATTTTCCACTCCTTGAACTTCTGGAAAGCTTCACTTTTATGCTTCATCATGTACACCCAAGTCATCCTTGAGTAGTCATCAATAATGGACACAAAGAATCTGCAGCCTCCCAAAGACTCAACACGGCATGGACCCTAGCAATCAGAATGGATATAATCAAGTGTGCCTTTTGTTCTGTGAGTGGCCTTTGGAAACTTGTTGCGATGTAGTTTTCCAAAGACACAATGTTCACAAAACTCTAGGCTCTTAACCTTATGACCAGCAAGAAGATCCTCCTTTGACAGAATTTGCATCCCTCTTTCACCCATATGACCAAGTCTCATGTGCCATAACTTAGTCATATCCTTCTGGTGAACTTCTGACGATGCAACATGGGCTGAACCTGTAACCGTGGAACCTTGTAGAAAATACAAAGTACCACGCATGACACCTTTCAGAATCAGATTTGAACCCTTCCAGACCCGCAAGACTCCATCTTTTCCCGACCAGGTAAATCCCTTGCTGTCCAAAAGACTGAGAGATATTAGATTTTTTGTCATCAATGGAACGTGCCTGACCCTATGTAGGGCGTAGCTTAGCACTATATATAGACGCTATGGCAAACCCTATGAAGGTACACAACTCAGGGAACACTTAGAGCAATTGAATACTTTGTTATTAGAATTGCGTAATATCGATGCGAAGATCGAGGATGAAGATGCTGCCCTGATTCTGTTAGTATCTCTCCCAATGTCGTTTGAGAATTTTGTTCAATCGTTCATTGTTGGGAAAGATACTGTGTCACTGGAAGAAGTCAGATCGGCCCTTCATAGCAGGGAATTACGGCACAAAGCTAACGGCACAAGTACGGACATACAGCCTTCCGGTCTGTTCACCAGTAGCGGAAAGGGAAGGAAAAACGTCGGAAAGAAAAATAAGCCGATGTCGAAGGGTGCAAATCCGGATGATGTTTGTAATTACTACAAGGAGAAGGGACATTGGAAATTTGATTGTCCGAAGAAGAAGAAGCAATCGGAAAAACAATCAGTGTCTGCTGCTGTTGCTGAAGAAGACACCAATTCTGAAGAAGATATTGCCCTAGTTGCGGATGAGCACACTCATCATTCAGATGTGTGGGTTCTCGAATAGTGCTAAGCTACGCCCTACATATAGTGCTAAGCTACGCCCTACATAGGGTTTGCCATAGCGTCTATATATAGTGCTAAGCTACGCCCTACATAGGGTCAGGCACGTTCCATTGATGACGAAAAATCTGATATCTCTCAGTCTTTTGGACAGCAAGGGATTCAGCTGGTCGGGAAAAGATGGAGTCTTGCGGGTCTGGAAGGGTTCAAATCTGATTCTGAAAGGTGTCATGCGTGGTACTTTGTATTTTCTACAAGGTTCCACGGTTACAGGTTCAGCCCATGTTGCATCGTCAGAATTTCACCAGAAGGATATGACTAAGTTATGGCACATGAGACTTGGTCATATGGGTGAAAGAGGGATGCAAATTCTGTCAAAGGAAGATTTTCTTGCTGGTCATAAGGTTAAGAGCCTAGAGTTTTGTGAACATTGTGTTTTTGGAAAACTACATCGCAACAAGTTTCCAAAGGCCATTCATAGAACAAAAGGCACACTTGATTATATCCATTCTGATTGCTGGGGTCCATGCCGTGTTGAGTCTTTGGGAGGCTGCAGATTTTTTGTGTCCATTATTGATGACTACTCAAGGATGACTTGGGTGTACATGATGAAGCATAAAAGTGAAGCTTTCCAGAAGTTCAAGGAGTGGAAAATTTTGATGGAAAATCAAACAGGGAAGAAGATCAAGAGGTTGCAAACTGATAATGGGCTGGAATTCTGTTGGTCTGAATTTGATCAATTCTGTAAAGATGAAGGGATTGCTCGACATCGTACAGTCAGAAATACACCACAGCAGAACGGTGTAGCTGAGCGGATGAATCAAACACTTCTGGAGAGAGCAAGGTGCATGCTCTCTAATGCTGGGCTAGATAGAAGATTCTGGGCAGAAGCGGTTAGTACAGCTTGCTACTTGATTAACCGCGGACCACATACAGGCATACAGTGCAAGACACCTATGGAGATGTGGTCAGGAAAAGCTGCTGATTATTCAAATCTGAAAGCTTTTGGTTGTACGGCCTACTATCACGTCAGTGAAGGTAAGTTAGAACCAAGAGCTAAAAAGGGAGTATTTGTGGGCTACGGAGATGGAGTGAAAGGTTTCAGAATCTGGTCTCCAGCAGAAAAGAGGGTTATTATGAGCAGGAACGTTGTCTTTGATGAAAGTTCTCTGCTTAGAACCATTGTGAAGCCTACAACTACGTCAGAAACTGGGAGTCTTGATAAACAGGTGGAGTTTCAAGTCATTCAGAACGAGAGCGATTTAAAGGAACCTGAAGAGACTGATCAAGAGCCACAGACAGAAACTGATATTCCAGAATCTATGACATCAGATATCCATCGGAGTATAGCTTAAGATCGACCAAGGAGGGTTGGAGTTCGGCCACCTACGAGGTATGGATTTGAGGACATGGTGGGTTATGCACTGCAGGTTGCTGAAGAGGTAGATACATCTGAGCCGTCTACTTACAAAGAAGCCATTTTAAGTCCTGATTCTGAAAAATGGTTTGCTGCTATGGGAGATGAGATGGAGTCCCTACACAAGAATCAGACATGGGATTTGGTCATACAGCGTTCGGGGAGAAAGATTATTACTTGCAAGTGGGTTTTCAAGAAGAAGGAAGGGATATCACCAGCAGAAGGAGTCAAGTATAAAGCCAGGGTTGTTGCCAGAGGTTTCAACCAAAGAGAGGGAGTGGACTACAATGAGATTTTCTCACCAGTGGTCAGACATACTTCCATCCGAGTGTTACTAGCGATAGTTACACATCAGAATCTGGAGCTTGAACAACTTGATGTGAAGACAACATTTGTACATGGAGAGTTGGAGGAAGATATATACATGACTCAGTCGGATGGTTTCCAAGTTCCAGGGAAGGAAAATCACGTCTGCAAGTTGAAGAAGTCCTTATATGGACTTAAGCAGTCTCCAAGGCAGTGGTACAAAAGGTTTGACAGCTATATGGTGAAGTTGGGCTATACTCGGAGATCATATGATTGTTGTGTCTACTACAATAGGCTCAAGGATGATTCATTCATCTATCTGGTGCTTTATGTAGATGATATGCTGATAGCTGCAAAGAAGAAGTATGACATTCAGAAGCTGAAGGGTTTACTTAGTGCTGAGTTTGAGATGAAGGATCTGGGAGCCGCTCGGAAGATTCTAGGGATGGAGATCATTAGAGACAGAGAGAGAAGGAAACTTTTTTTGTCACAGAGAAGCTACATTCAGAAGGTCTTGGCGAGGTTTGGCATGTCTTCATCTAAGCCTATTGATACCCCCAGTGCTTCCAATATCCATCTCACTGCCATGTTCGCTCCACAGTCAGAAGAAGAGAAGGAGTATATGTCACGAGTCCCTTATGCCAGTGCCGTAGGAAGTTTGATGTATGCTATGGTCTGTACAAGGCCAGATTTAGCACATGCAGTCAGTGTAGTGAGCAGATTCATGGGACAACCAGGGAAAGAACATTGGCAGGCTGTGAAGAGAATTTTCCGGTACCTTAAAGGTACATCTGACATTGGTCTCATTTATGGAGGTGATACTCAGTGCTTGGTTACTGGTTATTCTGATTCAGACTATGCTGGAGATGTTGACACAAGAAGATCGATGACTGGCTATGTGTTTACCCTTGGAGGTTCTGTCATCAGTTGGAAGGCAACTTTGCAACCTACAGTGACTTTGTCTACTACGGAAGCGGAGTACATGGCCTTGACAGAGGCTGCAAAAGAAGGGATTTGGCTGAAAGGGCTGGTTAGTGATCTTGGTTTGCATCATGATCAGGCTACGGTGTATTGTGACAGTTTGAGTGCAATTTGTCTAGCCAAGGATCAAGTCCATCATGAGAGAACCAAGCATATTGACGTGAGGTATCATTTTCTGAGAAGTGAGAAGAGAATCAAGGTGAAGAAAGTAGGAACTGCTGATAATCCTGCTGATATGTTCACAAAGACGGTTCCACAGAGCAAGTTTCAACACTGTTTGGACTTGCTCAACATCAGAAGCTGTTAATTGTCCTGCGGGGCAATTCTGAGGAAGAGGGGGAGGCCTGGCACTATCATAGTGCGTCTGAAGAATCTGTTTGGAGAATTCAAGTCAAGGTGGAGATTTGTTGAATGCCTTGAATTGGGCCCTTAATTATCTGTCAATTCTGTATTTTAGGCCCAAGCCTGTTAGGGCGTAGCTTAGCACTATATATAGACGCTATGGCAA